GGATAGGATAGGATAGGATAGGATAGGATAGGATAGGATAGGATAGGATAGGATAGGATAGGATAGGATAGGAAACTTTAGTGTCATTTGAAAGCAACCAACCTACAAAGATCATTTAGTCCAACTGTCCAGCTAATTAGGGATTGACTCAAAGTCAAAAAGAGCATTATTCAAATGCCTCTTAAATATTGATAGTCACAGGACATTGACAGCTTTTCTGGGAGGCCTATTCCATATCTAACTGCTGTGTCACTAAAGCATTCTCTGGTGGATGTTTGATCTATTTCAACCCATGCTGTCACTAGATATAGGGAGACTAGCATCTAGCTCTTTATTTCCCCTCCTTGGGACATTGTAAAGAGCAAGGAGATCAGACCTCAGCCTCCTTTTCTCCAAGCTTAAGTAACACAGTATCCTCTGCCTATATAGGACAGTTCAAATGCATGATCCATGAAAAAAAACCACCCGTAATTTGGTTTACAGGGCTGTCTTTACAGTCAGTGGAGAATGAGGGCTCTATTGCACTAAAAAGCATAGATTAAGTTTTTCTATCCAGCCAGATTCTTCACTGCTTGAATCATGTTGTCTCATTTAGTACTTGTCACAAAGCTCTTTTCTGAGGAATAAATAAAAGGCTTCTGTCTCACCTTTTAGAGGGCCAGAAATCTTTCCTTAAAATATGTCCTCTTTTTACTCTGAAGTCTGGCAAGCAACAGACCAGACACATATAAATTTTACAGAACATTTCACAAATACTTCACAACATTTCAAAATTATATTGTAAAGCCTGACATTTTAAACTGTTGACTTTACAAACAATTCTTCTTCATGAAAGTGGCAAATATCCTAATTAAGAGATTAATTCCAAGAACAGATAATAGAATTGCTTGATGGTATTTGCATATCCAAAGGGTTTTCAAAGAAAAGAGAGGAGTATTAGAATATGATGAGCACAGACAGTCTTTATTCATTCCACAAGATCTACTGTCTTTCTGCATGATAACTTATCTTTGTAGAAGAAAGGATAGGAAACACAGTAGATGTTACTGGTGTGACAGTTACTATGGAAATGTGCAGTATTACCACTATATGGCAGAAATTCATAATGACTTTTAGTTTGACTATCTGCAAGTTCAAGTGAACACCAACTTCATGATAATCAATATTTCACATAACTTTTGGAAAGAAGAACAAAGATGCATTTGGGAGAAAGAAGGTAATACAGCAGCAACGCAGGATATCAAATTATTTGTTATTGTTCTTGTTTCTGACTTTTTTTTTTAAACTAAAACTTCCATAGAAGTTTATGTAATGCTTTTAGAGGCATGTATAATAGTAACAAAGAGTCTGCCAAAATGTATTCCAGCAAGTCTCAAAACTGAATAGTATGATCTGTTTCTTTTGGAGGGTAGCACATTATGTTTTTTCTTCAACAAGCTGCTTACTTCTTTGCACTCACTGAGCTCCATTCAGCTACTACATCTTAACAGTGAGTAGGTGAAGCTGTCTGTTCAAAGCTATTCTCTGGGCAGCTAACAGCCTGTTATTACAGCCAAAGCCCATTCATTCCTTCGACCCATTTGGCTGAACAATCATGCCCAGAGGGTGGTGAACAGTGATGTAAAGTCTAGTTGGAGCTAGTAATTAGTGGTGTACCCCAGGAGTACAGTTCTGGGAAACAGCTCTGCAGAAAAGTTCCTGGGGGTCCTGTTGAACACCAAGTTGAATGTGAGTCAGCAGTGTGTCCTTGCTGCTTCTTTTTGGCTGCAAAAGGCTAAGTAACTCCTGCAGATCAAGAGAGATGATCTACTCAGCACTGGTGAGACTGCATCTGGAGTTCTGAGCTACCCAGTACAAGAGTATAGTGGAGTGAATTCAGCCAAGAGAGACCAAGATGATGAAGGGCCTGGAGCAGCTTTCCTATGAGGAGAGGCTGAGAGAGCCTGGACTGTTCAGCCTAGAGAAGAGGAGGCTCTGGGGAATCTCATCAGTGCCCATAAATAACTGAAGTGAGGGTACAAAGAGGACAGAGACAGGCTCTCTTCAGTAGTGCTCAGTACCAGGACGAGAGGCAATGGGCACAGACAGGAATACAGGAAGCTCACTCCGAACATGAGGAAGCCCTTCTGCACTGTGCAGGTGACAGAGCACTGGCATGGTTTCCCCAGAGAGGTTGGGGAGTCTCCTTGACGCTCGTCAGAAGCTGCTGAGACACAGACCTGGACACCATGCTGTAACAGTTCCTGCTGGAGTAGGGCTTGGGACAGAGGGAGCCAGAGGACCCTGCCAGCTTCAGCCGTTCTTGGATTCCAGATGTGTTCAAGTGCTGTTCCTGAACTCATTCTCTG